CCAACTCAGAAAAGTCAGGCTTTCCATATAAACAACTGGAATTCACCCCTAAAACAGAATAGTTTCCACACAGAGAAAAAGTATTCTGGTCAGATTTAGAGAAAACCTTGTGCTGCACTTACACCAAAACTGGATGATGAGTTTCAAAATTTTTTTTAGTAGGGCCTTGACTTGAGGAAGGGAAACAAGCAATCAGTGAGATAACTGACACACATGGAACCAGCTAACGTATGAAGATAACGGAGCCAAAAAGTGTTGCCAGTCTCTAAAGCAGTATCAAGTGACACCTGGTCTGGATAAGAGATGACTTTTAAATTCCACCTCCTTCCAGGTTTGACAACACTGATTAAAAAAAAAAAAACAACAAAGCCTATATATTACTGATGATCAGTTCTATCAGTGACAGAAGAAACTAGTTGTTAGACCATGTCCAGACATTTTCAGAACTATATTGTGTTCTAAATGTAGCACTGTTTACTGTATACATTCCTCTATGGCTATTGCCAAGCATTATTAGGAGTCAGGGACTGAACATTTGCTAGCACAGATCCACCCTCATCATTCCAAAGGAAACAACTCCATAATGAAAGATTAGTGAGAAAGTAAGAATACATTCTTCTTTTTACAGATATATCTGTTTTCAGAAAGGACTTGAGTTTATCAGTAAAACTATTTTTGTACAGGTTTAACAGCAGATAGACAAAATTAGCTGGAGGATTACTTACTTTCAAGTAGATCCAGTATTCCATTCCTCTCCCGGCAGAAAGGAAAAGTACCTTCAGGTTTTCAAGGCACAGATCGTGTATTTCTTGTGGTATGAAGTAATTTCTTTTAACATTCAGCTGTGCAATTCACCAATTCCCAGAACTGCATGTTATAGTTTGCATTCTGAACAAAGCTAAGTACCTTCCCTTCCAGGGCTCTTTTGTCTTCTAAATACATCCTCCTTGGTTGTATTTCATGTTATTGTGTTCTCACTGCTTCTGTACAAATGAACATATTAATCCTTAATTTTCTAGGTTTCTTGCTCCATTTGCCAAGGCAGCATTTTTCTTCTCTCAGAAACTGCAGATGCAGATTACCACCGTGCCAGCTTCTTCCTGTCTGGAGTGGTCTGGCAAAAGGAATTAGTTCAGGAAAGTTCATAAAAATGTATATTTTATTTACACTTTTACTGTACTTTACAGCTGTCTCATTGTGTTCTCATCACTTTTCTTTTGAGTATACTTATGAAAACCCATCACAGCAGCTGAGGACTGTAGGGTTGAAAGCTGACCTTCCAAGACAAGGACTAGAAATACAGGAGGCAATCTCTCTCCCATCAAATGACAGTTCCTCCACAACTCTTCTACCCTTTGGGGTACCCCTGAGAAAATGCAAAACCTCAATTTTGGTTTGTTGCGCTATTCACAGTGGTGAAGAAAAAGCTGTCAGCATTCACTTGTCAGCAGCTTAGGCAGTTGTGGAACTTGAGGTCCATTTGAAAATACTTCAGGTATTCGTATGCAGTAGACCTAAATGCAAGGGCATTAAAATCTGGCATAGAAGTCTACATGGGCAGGATATGCTCCAGTCTGAGAGAAGACAGGTTTTAGTTGGGGTAAGATGAAACACAGACAACAGTACAAGTGCAGTACTGCTGGTGACTTCATGTTTAAAAACATGGCATGCCAGTGTAGAGAAAACTAGTCTGTAGCATCCAAGCAGAGCATTTTTTTAAGCTGTCTTACTCTGCATCCAGGCAAAACTCAGTTCACAAAAATAGTACATTCCCTTTTCTATATATTCCTTCAGGAAAAAAAAAAAAAAAAAAGAACACGACAATAAAACTGCTGCTATAGAAGTATCACCCACAGAGATAAAGAAGGCCTAAAACGAAGCAAAAAATTAATGGAATCACCTTTCCAAATCTTCAGCTGCTTAATCTTGAAAATAACAGGGAAGAAAAAACAAAATGCATGTGAGTTAACATGCAGGTGCATAAAGCTATACATGAGATCCCAGCTAGGACTCCAGGAATTTCCAGAGCTGACCCCACCACAACTGCTTTCTCCCTGCCTATGAGAAAGGACATCATGTAAATCAGTCCTCAGTCAGATAAAACAGATTCCTTGTCCCTTTGAGAACTGCATCACTGCAAAGAGCTCAGGACCTCCAAAACGGCATGGAAAGTGAAGGATTTGACACTTACTGCCACAGAGCTTTTCCAATGTTTGATGTTGCAGTGCAGCTACAAGCAATTGGATCCAACTCATGTTCAATGAGAACCAGCTCTACATCTTGGTTAATTTTGTAACCACTGGACTATGGAAACTCTAATTGAGAAGTCCCACTGTATTTGCTGGTGAAGGCATACATATATATACATACATATATAAACTGGGGTTTGCCTCACACTTCCTACAATGAAGATACTGATACTTACCTATCATCACCCATACAGGGCACTGCAAACCATCCTTGAAACAACTCATCAGCAACTGATAGACTCTCTATTAAAACTGTAGCAGTATTAAAATCTGATGTCTTCACAACAGTAAAGGTTGGGTTTTTTTAAAGCAGAAAAGTCTGAAAAAGCCATTATTTGTCACAGGATGATCCAAAGGCTGTTAATCTCCTGTCTACACCTTAAGAAAGAAAAAAGAAGAAAAATCTAATTTAAACAAGTGCTACTAGGGATAAAAAATTCAGACTGATACTACATTAAATTACTTGGGAGTCTGAGGTATACAGCCATGGTCTTCAGTAAAAAAGAAAATTATAGGGTCTATCAATTAGAGAAGCGGTGCTCTGAGCCTATGTGCTGGCATGCTTACAGTTTTTTTAATGCCTGGCAGGATGTTTTACAAACTAAACTCAGCAAGATGACAATTCCACCAGAAGGTGCTTCAGATGGTTTTGCTAATAATTTTGATCAGCTGAAATGGAGAAAAACATCACTTCGTTTATCTGGCTTTTCCAGAACCTGTCAAATCTGAGCAGAACCATTAATTGCCCCCTTCTGCATCTCCTGCCCATCTCTCCCACTTTCTTCTAGAAAAGACACACTTCAATTTTTTTTTTTTTTTCCACAAGTATTCTGCACAATCAGCCTTTGTTCCCAAAACAAATTTTGGTCATTCTTTGTGCATTTCCTCTGCTAGAAGGAAGTGCCATTTCTTGAAAATATTCATTGGAGGCTGGTGCTGCTACTGCTGCAAACATGTAAGTGCTAACCACCATATATTGGCTTTTGTTTTAATAGCCTTTTAACCAACTTTGTTAATGGACTGAATGCAATTTAGATATGGAACTTGGCTAAAATGTAGCTTCAATTGGCTATTAAAATTTAAGAGCCAACTAAGATAGCTAATTACAAAAAAGCTCCAGTGATAATGCTAAGCAGAATTAGTAATAGCAAATGACAGTCTGTCTAGTCTTATTCCCAAAGGGAAAGAAACTCTTAACTGAGAAGTCAACCAGACAACGTGCAGAAAACCTAATTGCATTACTGGTATTATGGCATCCCAAATCTGGCAGCTCACTGGGACAAAACAGTGAGTAAAGTCTGTCAAACTACCCAGGAAAGCAACTGACCCTCTTCTTAATGCTAGCTGCAAGAGACATCAGGAATTATGTTATTACTTTATATAAACTTATTGGGGAATATTCCTGTCAAAATTATCAAATTATCCAAAAAATATCTTACACCCATCCTGCATTTGATTCTCTCTCCAGATATTTTAGATTAGGGGAAAAAATATAAACAATCTGTCTACAGAATGTTCAAGCACTAAAAGCAGCATTCTGTGCTTCATTATCAATATCCTCATTACACCATCAGCTGAAGTGCCGACTAGTTCTCCTGTGAAGATTTATCATGTATGGTGGCCACTTTGAAACATAGGTAGCGGAGTCTTTAACATTCCCTACTGAAGTGTCTCCCTGCTGTGCCTGTAAATGTCAGTCCAGTTTTTTCACGGCTGTGCGCACAGATTAGAAACAGCAGGAGAGCTTGGGAGTACGACTACAATACCAGTAAGGACACTTGTCTTCATGGCACTGCTCAAGTGATTCTTGGAATGCAGGACCCTGCTGTTTCCTAATATTTACACACAACTGGAGTCATCAAGAGCAGTAAATGCAGTCTAAAGGCAGCTTGCTTCTTTTGTGAAAGCTTTACTTTCAAATGGGGATGTCAACAAAAACCTAATACACCCTCTACCTCCTATAAACTAGTATTTCCCCATCGCTGTTCTGCAAACAGCACACACATGTATGCAAGCACATACTGTATGCAAAACATATAGTAGTACTGCAGGTATTACAGCCTTGCACTTGGCACATCCTGACTGTCCCACCCATTAAACATCATCATAGTTTACCCTGAGCCCAGAGACATTCCTGCTGGTGAGGACCGTAGGTTTACACAGTCTCTCGTGAGCAGAGACAAGCCCTGAAGCATTCACCTAGAAGGGAAAGCACCCCTTTTCTTCACAGAACACGTGCCAGTACAAACTTTTTTCAGGACATTTTTGGGGTGGGAAGAGGCAAGGCTGGCTTATGAAATCTGCCCCTCAAAACATTCTTTTTGAACATATGGAAATGTTTGTGTGTGTTACATTTGCCTTTGATAGCATCAAGAGAAAACATACTCCTTGAAAACTTGGAAAGTAAAGACAGGAAGTTTACCAGTAAATTACTAAAAAAAATTAAATGTCAAACAACTAAACTACAAAAGAATGACATTGAATATGCAAGACAATCAAGAGAATACAATATGCTTTCCTTGACCATAGTTCTTCAGAATAGTATAACATACTTCTTGCACAAAATGATTCAGTGAAGTCATTAAAATGACAGTTTGATTTGAGGAGTTTTAAATATGAAAGAGGCTTTAGCAGTCCTATTTTTACATCTGAAACAAAGAAAATGCTATGCTTAAAGTCATCATCCACACTTTGCTAATACCCAGGAAAATGAGTCTGTATAGCAGTCAGAACAGAAATAAGAAGGCACTAGACCTTTTAAATACATGATTCCAGTTTTATTTCCAAACAACGGATTCCCTTGTTTTCAAAACATAACCAAGTCATTCATTCAACATTTTATGCTACAACATTCATTTCAGTGAGTAGCTACTCGGACAATACACAATCAAGCAAGCAGAGCACTGGACATCCACACAGATATACCATCCATGGGCTCATTAAGGATTCCTTTTGGTTTGTCAAAGCAGTCTCCCTGATAAGAATTATGTTCATGCCCAAATTATATATTTTTCTGCAATATCTAAATGAAAAGTAGAAGTATTTCATACCAAAATTAAACACTATTTTTTGACTTAAAACTCTGAAGACTCAAAGCCAAGCAAGGAAGTACTTTTAAGAAAGGTTACATGTTTCTCAGCTACCAAAAACATGTAAACCGATATTTTGTTGAGAAGCACATAGGAGTCAAGCTTTCACTGGAATTAGATACTTTACAAAGTTATTCTTCATAACTGTAACTTTTGTAGCATTTTCATTAACATAAAAAGAAAACTTGAGGGGGTAGTTGTGGGAGTATTGGCTTTTGGTTGGTTCTTTTTTTGCCCTGGGCCCTGTATGTCTGAAATTTTGGTCTCCTCTTTCCAGAGAAACTCCAAGTAATTGGAAAAATGGTACAAACACAAATAGTATGCAAAGAAATAACTGAAGTTCACTACCCATCCTCCAAACAATTGTTTAAAAACACTTTATAACAAACTAGAATGGAAGGATGCGATTTTTTTGTGTCTTATGTTCTCTTTTTTAATTCAAACACTTGGCAAATATTTAAAAGATGTCTTTACCATTTCAGACTTTATCTCAGTGTCCATCTAAGTGACCTCCAATAAGGCTTTACTCAATTAGAAAAAAAGATATCAGAGGCAACACTGCTCTTCCTTACAAAGTATCCATAATGAAACTAAATAAGGCTTTATTTCTACATTATAAAGCAGAAAAAAGCACTTCTTTCCATTTGCCTTTAAGATATGACTTCATGTATATGAATAAAAATACATCCTCACTTCAAAGTTGGCAAAATTTTGCATTAGTATTTAAGTATACATAAATTATGCAAATATTTTAATAAAACATTTATTCTTCAAAAACAGGTACAAACAGAAGTCCATGTTTTTACAGGATTCATCATTTAAAAATTAAAGAAAAAGATTCCAGTGTTACAGTAACTGAAAAAAACCCAGAGATGAGCCAAAGAGCAACTTAATTTGTTGCTCCATCTATTATTTATTTTTGGACTCTCTTTCTGGTTGCTGTGCCTTTTTTGGGTTTTGGTGAGGTCATCTTCCGTGTTCTGGTAGCTACTGCATCTACAATTAAAACAAAAAAAAAGACAAGGCTTTCTATAAAATAAAATAACAGAAATGGATCACAAGAAAACATTTGTTGTCTTTAAGAGGATTGATCAACTCAAATCATTAGTCTTGACTGGGGAAATGGGGGACTCAGATGTCATGGACTCACAAGAATTTAACACAGTTTCTGGGCACCAATTTGCTCCTGAAAAACACATTGTACAATTCAACTTCTCAAAAAGTAGCATTACATAGAGTTGAGCTGATTTATTAGCTCACATCCACCAAAAGATGAAGAACCAAACCCTCTTCAAAACCAAAACCCCTCCCTCCTTCCCACCCACCAACTTTCAGTTCTATGATCCCTCCCAGTACTAAGACATTTCTGATGCTGTTTGGACCTTGTGCTAAGCTGATCCAGCTCCAAAACGTGGCAAAACTTTCACTTGGTCTAGTATTCTCATAGTTTAGTGAGCTGCAACACCTTAAAGAGTGTTTTGAATGGAACTTATACAAGGGGAGGTAAAAGACACATAGGTAGAAAAGAGGGAGATTTTTGTTTGACAGTGTCAAGCTGTTAAATCAACTCAGCTATCAGTGCAACTTCACCTAGAGATTTCAAGTTATTATTTGACAATATTAAACAAAGGTAATGAACAGTGCCATCTAAATAAGATTCCTAGAGAACCTGGCAGGAAGGCTGTTCAAAGAGGCCATACTTAAATGCAATAATAAACTCCCTGCACTTTTGATTCTTTCCTGCTCACTAGCAGGTAAAAGAAAAAAAAAAAAACCCACACCACACTACATCTCATTTCTATGAATCGTGCTCAACTGTAGTCACTTTAAGAAAAAACATTACATATAACTGCTAGCATTTTCACAAATGCAGTAACAATGAAATGTTTTTCATCTTTTAATTTTTTTTAATCCTGACTTCCTCCTTGAAGTCAGTACGCCTAACTATTTAAGTTCTTGCATGCAAAACTATATATAACTCTACAGTTCCTCTCAACTTTTTAATCTGCATTACTGACAAAAGAAAAAATGTAAAATTGAATTTTATGGAAGTCCTTAAGAAAGAAGCTGCTTGCATAAGACAACAGCCTTTGAGCAGCAGTATGAGTCACCAATCACTCAAGCTCAATGAGTAAATTTGGGGGAAAGCAAGGAGGCAGAGTAAAATGCAAAACAAACCAAAACAGTTGAGTTTACCCCAAACCAAAATCACACCAAGAAACGCAAAGAACTATTGCAAAGTTTTGCTTTAATGTTTAACTTTACATAGCTTAATTTGCTCTTAAAATGTTGGTTTGAAATTTAAAATACCAGTATTAACTTTGAAGAACTTTTTTATTCTTGAAAATTAAATGGGAGAATGAAAAAAATATTCCCTTTCCTTTTTTGTCCGAAAGCACTTGCTGCATTCAACATAAAACTATAAACAGGCTGTCAGACAATATCTCTTTAATTAATAAATCACTTGGGGGAAAAAAAAAAAAAACCAAAAACACAAAAGACATAATGGACAGCTCTGGTGATAGTCTCTCACTCAGCAAAACAGCTTTATCAATGAAAGACCTACTCTGGCAAAACACCACTCCTGCCCTGCAACCTCTATATAAAATCAAATCCATTCTGGTACCATTACAAGTACTGGTAGCTAAAAGCTATACAAGCAGGTATCATAAACTAAAGTAGTAACTTAACTATGTAAATCATTGCTTCTCCCAGCCAAATTCTGGTTTATCTTCAAGAATTAGTTTATAAGTTTCAAAGTCACAAGATATTTCAGCTACTGTAATTGTGATTTCTAGCAACAAACACATCTTCTAAGTTTTCAAATTGAGTAGGCAAAGTTATCCGATCACCTGCATGAACTGTATCAGTTTTCCTCTCTGCATTCCTCCTGAATTCTTCCCTGGAATCTTTGTATTGCAACAGAAAGCAAAGAATGACCAAAGTTTTCTCTTTAAGAAAAAACAATAACCTGAACTTTTTCCCTTTCATTAATCTTCACCAGTTTTGACTGAAGTTAACTGACATCATCCAGTCACAGACTGGATAATCAAATGATGCAAAGACAAGTCAAATTCATGTTCTATTATCAGAAAGACTGTCAATATGAAAATGATGACCTTACATAAAAAATACTACAGGTGTTTGATTACAGAGAAAAAAAAGAAATGAGTTATCAGATTTTTGTGTTTCGACTTCAGGAATGTAGTATTTCATGTTAGTCATGGACAATACAAGCAACTGAAGTTTACTAGTTTCTAGTTCAGTAAGAGCTTACCCATTTATAGTTGCCTATGCTGGAACACCAAAAAGATGACAAGAGCTACTCTGTCTCTGATTTTTCCCTTAACTTTATTGCATTAATGAGTTCTTTTTAAGGCTTTTCTAAACAAACCATGATCAGAGAATCTCTAAGGGAATCATAACAAAAAGGGGAAAAAAAATCCCTGTCATGGTTCTTTCATTCATAATTTCAAACTTAAACAGCAGGAATATTCTCTTAAACTATTTAAGTTGTCTGTGTTAAAACTCAGAATGACTGCTCTTAACCCATGTTTAGCTGCAAAGTTTGCAGCTATTTCAGAGGTGAATGAAGGTCTTCTGTGCCAAAAAGCTCATCTGCATTTTCAAAATTAGTTACCTTGACATTATGTATTGCCCCCTCCCCACAATCCTTTCTTGTGGGAGAAATGTCAAGTCTTTTTCTGAAAACAGGACACAAACAAAGCTATTACAAGCAAAGGAAAAGGGTTTTATAAAGCAGATTAAACTGAATTAGGTTGAAACAGCAATCTAAATGAGAAAGAATTATATAGGCAAAAATAAACCAGATGGTGTCACTGCACAGCTTGTTTTGAGACTGGAACAAAGTTCAGCAGAGACAGAGTCCCACAGGCTCTAGAGGAATTATTAGACAAGTTGACTGTGATATCTGATCCTCTCTGTGTAAACACTATTATAAAAAAACCTTTACAAAAGAAACCCAGCAGTACTGTGTATAGTTTGGGGCTCTATCCTTCAAGAAAGTTATGAGAAAAATGAAATAAAAACAAACCAAAACAAAACCAAAAAACAGGAGTGGTGATCATGGTTTCTAGCTAACAAAAAAAAAAAAAAAAAAAAAAAAAAATAGTTTATCTGAAGAAAGGGAAAAAAATGGAAGAGATGCAATGGTGCAGCCTTTTGGACTCATCAAATGTACAACAGGTTGCTGCGTAAAATGAGAGTAATTTTCATCTCCTCAGTGGATAGGACAACTAATAAGCTTAAGGGAAATTCATATTACGTACTAAAAATATCAAAAGAAAATACTCTGCCTTAGTTAAGTATCAGAAGTGGTGTTGAACAGATATGTTTCAGAATCTTAATTATAGAGGTTTTAAGAGAAAATATTGGTATGTATCAAGATTAACACAGATGTAGATAGATAAGCCTGTCCTTAGGCTGGTGAATAGAGCAGATCTTGATATCCCTTTTCATCTTGTTTTCTTATTCTACATACGCCATTTTAGAAACATAAGTTATGAATAAGAGAAAAATCTGTGCTCAAGTCAAAAAAATTAAAGTTTCTAGAAAATAATGGAGGTTCCTTTGGTAAAAATAAGCAGACAGAGTCCTACATTTCCCACTTAATTGCCTGCTTTGATGAAAATTAGGACAGTGAGAGATTCTGAACATGAAAATACAGCTCGTGAGCAGATAAAACAAGGTATGATTTAGGTGTTAATGGTGACTTCTAGGTTACATCATAGGCTAGAATTTTTGAAAGCAAAACCACATATAGATTTTAGACTCTAGGCAAACAGTAAGTGAAAAACATCTAGCAGCAGACACACTGAAGTTTAGCAACTGCATCACTTGCATATGCTGAATTTACACCTGACAAGCACTGAATACATGCCAGTTTCTGTATAATGGCTGAAGAGTTCCAGCAATTCTAGACTATGCAAGCTCTTAAACTAGACTTGTAGTAATCATCATTAAACAACACTGCTAACATCTTCTGCCCTCAAAATAAGCACATGCAGTCAAGTACACTGATTAGAGACTGCAAGCCTTCCTTGCTTAAAAAAAAAAAAAAAATCTAGTGTGCACACACACACACACACACACACACACGCATATAATCTCCCTCACACACTCTGCTGTATGTTTATCTCTTTAAGAAACAAAGGTCAATAAATCTGGAGTGTTCAATCATGTGGTATAGAGTTCTCAAGTGGTTTTTCAGTACTTTGAAGGCTGTTGAAGCAACTGTAAGGGTGACAAGTAGTAGTTTTGCTTAGCTGGCTTGTTCTCTTTTCTCAGTAGTTCTTTTCCTACCAAAAAATTCAGAAATGATTAGAAAAAAAAAAACACACCAAAAAACGAACAGACCAGAAGAATGCAAACACGGACTTGAATTCCAAGAAATACATGACTGTGGGGTGTGTACGAGAGAACAGAAAGTTTGTAGAGTTATGGGATGGGGTTTGGCTTTAGGTACTCAGTTCTTCCAAGTCCTGTTTCCTGAAACAAATGAAGCCAATACATTTCCATAGGATAATATGGAAAAACATTAGGACACGAGAATGGATTATTTGATGATTTTATGCCTATTTATTTCCTAAAGATAACATCAAATCTATGAGTGTTCTTTCAAAAATTGTTCCAGATAAAACTGAAACTACTTTACCTCCATTTGTAAAATTTGCTTCCGTGAAGACATTCCAAAACTACTGTACATACACATCTAATTCAGTAGTCGGATGAAGCATGTATTTAAGAGCAGCTCTCCCCTCCCACCACACAGTAATTTTCAGGAGGAAAAAAGTTTAGTTCATATATATTATTTGAAATCTTGAAAAAGTTTAGATCCCTGTAAAAATCTGAGCCACTGCAGTACAATTTTTCTTTCTTTCTTTCTTGTGCAAAAAACTTCACTTGCAAATTTTGTATCTTTTTATATATTTTATATCTGTTGAGTTTGAACTGCAACACTTGGCCAGCATACTGCA